CCCCCCCCCCCCCCCCCGCTTCCCGCCCTTCCCACTGCAGGCCCAGCCGCTACGTGCTACGCAGCTGTGTGGGCGGCGCCACCAGCGGTTTTGTGGCATGCGGCGCGGAGGATTGCCGCCTGTACCTGTGGAGCCGCCACTCGGGCGACCTGCTGGAGTGCTTGGCGGGGCACACGGGCTGCATTAACGCCGTCGCCTGGCACCCGAGGATGCCCCACCTCATCGCCTCCGCCTCAGACGACGGCACCATCAGGACGTGGATGGCTGCAGCAGCCATGAAGGGAGCCAGCTTAGGCTGACGCGTTGCCCCAACATGCCACTGTTGCCAAGCGCAGCGCCTTGGCTGTACCATACTTTCTCTGTGCACAACCATCAACTTCACTGCAGCTGTTAAATGGATAAAACGCCAGCGCAATGTTGTAAATTTAGCTGTAGTGTTAGAGCGCGTTGAAGCGAGCGAATAGGCAGGAGGTTGGATTTCAGCGGGGAGAGGGAAACAAAAGCAAAGGCAGCCGGTCATCTTCAAAACAAAACGCAGCTCAGAAAAATGAAGCAAGAGTGTGCCAGAATAATGCTCTGCTTCCACGCCCGTTTGTTGCACAGCGCAGGGTTGAATGCACCCAGCTGCTAACGGCTAGGCTCTAGGCATCCCTGGTGCATGCTTGCCACCCGCGAGCGGGTTTGGCGCTATGCACTATGCCTCACGAGGCAGAGGCAGCAGTGGCCGGAGCCTTGGGAGGAAAGCCCACCGCCTCGGCGGCGGGTGACCCACTTTGATCAGAGGAGCCGGCTGCCGCCTCGGTTTTGGAAAGGAGGCCTCCCGTCTCGGAGGGCGGCGCGTCCTGCGGCTGCAGCGGTGCCTGCAGCTGTGTTGGCTTCTTGTTGCGGCCCCCACAGCAGCCGAACAGCTTGGCCTTGGCTTTGCCCAGCGGCGCCTTGATGAACTTGGGCAGGCCCAGGCCACACAGCAGCAGCGAGACGTAGAAAAGGACACTGCAGCAGGCGGACGGGGCAGGCAGGGGTAGACTGGTAGGCAGTCACAAGACCGAGGGACGCCGAGCACCGACCCGAATACTGTTGTTGCTGCATGCCGAGCAATGGGACAGGGCGCGCAGCAGGCAGCCAGGAGCAGCGCAGAGAGGGCGGGGGTGACAGGCGGCAACGGCCGCCGCACCTGAGCGTGATGCCCACTGCATCAGAGCTCGTTGCAAACTGGTACTCGCCGTTGATGTACGCCTCATACTCTGCGGTACACACAGCGTCGGGAGGGCGGGGTGAGGTAAGGTGGGCGCAGATCGTCGCAAGCTGTGGGTAGGCGCCTGGCAGGTTGACTTGGCAGTGTAAACCACATGGGCAGTTGAACATGATGGGCCCCTGGACCCCACCCACTCACCAGAGGAGTTCTGGAAGGTGGGGAAGCAGCCATTGTAAACGTCGACGCCGCTAGCGCCCAGGGCGGCTGCAGGCGGGGCAGGGCAGTGTAGGGTGGGGGTGAGTGCTCGCAACGACGGCATGGGTGGTCCTGGGCAGGCATCATGCACGGATGGGATCATAAACGCGGCAGGGCGGCTCGCCGCTCAGCACCCGGCAACAGGAGCAGTTGTGCAACTCACCCTCTGCCTCCTGCAACAGCACACGCCGCCTGCCTGCCTGCACAGCCAGCCAACGTGGATCCCCACGTGCATGTGAGCATGTGCAATGAGCCCGGCGAGAGAGACGGAGGCAGGCAGTCCACAGGCGCGTGCAAACTCACCTCAGCCTCGCCCTCGGCTGTTGTGGTCGTAGACCCCTCAGCCGTTGTGGACCCCTCCGCTGTACTGCCCTCGGCTGTTGTTTCGCTGTCGGCAGGGCTCGTTGGGGTGGAGCTGGAGCTGCCCGACTCGCCCTCCCCTTCAGCCTCCGCGCTGGTCTGCAAAACCATGCCGCATGATGCAATGAGTGAGCTGGCGGCGGTTGAGTGGTCACAGTTACGAGACAGTGGCAGCACAACTGGCTTTGGGGGGGGGGCGGCGCACTAGATCCAGCAGAGACAAAAGGGCATGTACGGCGGCGGGCAGGGGGACGCACCGACACGCCATACTCAAACAGTGCGCATTCGTTCACGAATGTGATCCACTGGGCGCGATAGACCTGCAGGGGCAACATTAAGCCGTCGGGAACCAGGCCAAAACCGAGGCCGGCGTGGAACCGCGCAGCCACCGCCACGCTTGGCTGCCCCTTCACCCCTGCAATTAAGCCTCACATGCATGCAGCGGATGATGTCCGTCTGATAGGGGCAGTCCTGCTTCTTCTCCGAGTAGATGGCCCAGTTGAGGGTGTCGTAGCAGGCCGCGAGGCAAGACTGATTGCAGCCAGCGACGGGCGACACTGGCGGCGACGTGTAGTTGTTCCAGAGGCTCTGCAGCTGCGCGTCGCAGCTGTCATTCATGACCTCCACCGTGGTGTGCATCTGACTGTGCGTGCCCTGGAGCAGCAGCAGGAGCAGGGCCGCCGCTCCGAGCATGCCCCCCACCCTGACACCCTGCAGAGTCATGACTGCCTTGCAACGAGGAGGAAGGATTAAACTCCGTCACGCAACCGCGCTCGGACGCCGCCCTTTCGAGCACGCGGAGAGCGTGCGCAGCAAAGCATGCGCGCAGCAGGAGCAGACTTTTCGCGGCGCGCGCCGCACGTATGTGTCCATTTATCAGGTTGCATGGTGCAATTTATGTTGCAGTAGCAGCTGCGGACTTGTGACTTGCCTCTGGTATCCTTTGCCGGCTGTACCTCGCTGCTCCACGCCCCCTCGCCCCTGCCAGACACATCAAACGCTGTCCGCAACACGCATCGCCAATGCGACACCCCACCGTCACCCCGCCGCAGCGGCGGCAGTGGCGGCCGCCGCTGCCGGTGCTTGCAATGGCAGCGGCGGTGCTTCTGAGCCCTTGTTGGGCTGCGCCTGCCTCCACCGCCCTGCACACCCCACCAATGGCGATCTGGATCGACGAGTTCTTCTTTGCCGAGGGCGAAACCGTGCTGCTGCGTGAGGCGGTGGCGGCCTCAGGCGGTGCTGCCGTGGTAGCGGGCACTACCCACAACCGCATCTTCCAGCTCAAGAGCTACCAGCAGCCTGACAGGATGGACGTGATGTGGACAGGGCAGCAGGTGAGAGCCGTGTGGCTGCATGTGTTCGGCATAAGGAACAGCAGAAACAACAATGTTTGTTTTTAGGAACAGCAGAAGCAACAGTGTTTGTTTTTTGGGGTCTGTGTTGTCATCCCTGGCACCCCCGGCTTAATGCCAGTGTCTGTCCCTCTGTCTGTGCAGGGCTGCTATGAGGCGTTCAAGCGCCGCCTGAACGCCAGCCACTCCGTCAGCTGCGTGCCTGGGGCGCAGGCAGTCACGGGCAAGGCGTCGCTTGTGGGCAGCCTGCAGGCGGCGTACGGCGAGGGGGCCTGGGGCATCGTGCCACGCTCCTTCCGCCTGCCGCAGCAGTACTCTGACATGGTGGCCCACCTGAAGCAGGTGGGCCTGCATGCCGCAAGCAAGCAGCCCCCGTCTTGGCGCTGTGGCAGCTGCCTGACCAGCCTGCCAGGGTTTGGGTGCCAGCACAGCTCCTGCAATGCTCGGCAGACAGCCTCCCTGCCGCTCACCCTGCGTGCTCGCCTGCCCGCCCCTGAGCGCAGGAGCAGCGCAGCGGGCGGAGCGGGCTGTGGGTGCTGAAGGAGGACGTGCACCGCGGCAAGGGCGTGGGCGTGGCAACGCCCTCGCAGGCGCTGGCGCGCGCGCTGGAGCCCGCCCCCGGCGACCGCCGCGGCCTGCGCCACGTGCTGGCGCAGCGCTTCCTGGGTGACCAGTACCTGGTGGGCGGCAGACCCTTCTACATCAGGTGTGCGTGGTGGGGGAAGGCGGCGGTGGTTGCAAGGCGATGAGCCGTGCTGGCGCTGCTGGCACATCGGCTGCCAGGCGTCAGTAGTAGCTCAGCGCCGGCCTCTCACAAGGCCCCTCGCGCGCTGCCCGCTGCAGGGTGTGGGCGGTGGTGCTGGGGGCCGACCCCGCCCGCGCCTACCAGTTTGGTGGCGGCGTGGTGGTGTTTGGGCAGCAGCAGCGCGCCGGCCAGGCCGCCGACAGCCTGATTGTCAACCTGTGGACGCAGGACCGGGCGGCGGCGGCCCCCTGGAGCCTGCAGCAGCTGGAGCAGCACCTGGAGGCGGAGACGGGAGGCAGCGAGACGCCCCAGCGCCTGCGCCGCCAGCTGCACGCGGCGGTGGCTGCCAGCCTGGCGGCGGCCCTGCCCACGGTGCGGCGCGCCGCGGACCAGCTGGCGGGCTTCCAGGGCGGCAGCTTTGAGGTGCTGGGGGTTGACTTCATGGTGGATGCCAGCCTCAGGCCCTGGCTGGTGGAGGTCAACCGCCTGCCCTCCATGGCCCGCAAGGTGGTGGCCTGCGCCAGCAACGCCACCGCCGGCGGTGACGATGGCGACGGCGGTGGGCGCTGCGAGCAGGATGTGCCATTTGATGTGCAGAAGGAGCGGTTCATTGGGGCGCTGCTGCAGCTGCTGATGCACCGGCACAGCCAGCACGCCGGCTTGGCGCAGCAGGCGGAGCAGCTGCTGCAGGCGGCATCAGATGTGGCGCTGGAGGAAGAGCAGCCGCCCTGCTTGGACGCTGCGCAGCTGCAGCAGCTGCTGGCAATGCAAGCAGAGCAGGCAGAGGCAGAGCGGCTTGGGTTTGTCCCGCTGACCACCCAGCTGTACCGCTCCCTGGAGTGCATGGCGACCCAGCCCAGCAGCAGCAATGGAAGCAACCCGTGTGATGTGCTGGCTGAGCTGGCCCCGCCTGGTTTGCCAACCCGGCAGGAGTGCAGCGCCCCTGCGCCTCCTGGATCCCATCTGCTGGCGTGGCTGCACGGCTGGGGCAACCAGCTGCGCTTACAGGCTGCCTCTGTGTTGCCACGGCTGCGGCATCCTGCTGCAAGGCGGCCACAAACGAAGACAGCCGCTGCTGCCTACCAGCTGCGTCCCTCGGACGAGCGCCTGCTGGCATGGATGCAGCACGGCAGCCACGCGATTGCCAGCCTGCAGGCTTTGCGAGACTTTTGCAATGGTTCTCGTGGTGCGGCTGCCCAATAGTCCTGTCATGCCCTTTCTAGCAAGCAGGCAGTAGATGGGCAACACATGTGGCTGTAGACCGCAAACAGTGGTCCACATGACATGTAATGCATGTGCAGCGATGGCACTGGGCAGGCACAAGACACGAGTAGAGATGTGGCGGATGCAAGGACAGTGCCCTACAGGGAGCAGGGTAGTGCGACACATGGAACGTAGCCCAGCAACCCTCACCCTGGCTTCTTGGCGCTGATCAACCAGCATGAGTTGGTGCAGCAATCCAGATCGCCAGCAGGGGTGAGGCAGCCATTGGCAGAGAGCAGGGCCTGCATCTTTTGGCGCGCCTCTCCAAATACATCCTCCCCCGGCCTCTGCTGCTGCGCTTTGGACACCGCAGCCTGCATGGAAGCACACCAACCACACAGCAATGTCATTGCTCGCCTAACAACACTGCTGGACATCCCCACCCTTGCGCCATGCCCCTGCCACTGACCTTGATGGGAAGCGGCATCTGGAGCATTGCATCCCACCACACGTCGTTTCTCAGCAAGAAGTCGACCTGCAGCAAGGGGCGGGAGGAGCACTGAAATGGCCTGCCGCATGGCCTTGTGCAGTAAGCTTGGTATTTCTCCTAGCCGGCTGACCTGCAGCTCCTTGCACTCCAGATCCTGCAGCCCCGCATTGCCCACAGCCTCCATCAGCTCCTTTGGGTCGCTGAAGCGGAGGGCGGTGAAGCTGGCGGGGGCGGTGGAGTCGTATTCTGCGGCACAAGCAGGGTGGCAGGCATCGGTCACAGAGGCAAGCAGCAAGGGAGGGCGCGGCAACAGCACATGGGGCTGCTGGGCACCTGCGACCAAACCCACCTGTCGAGAGCAGCCTCACATAACGGAAGAAGTGCATGCGGTCATCAGGCCCCCATACCGACACGGCCAGGATGCCGCCTGGCTTCAGCACTCGCTGAAATTCGGCCAGCGCCTTGTCGTGGTTTGGCAACAGCATGATGCCGAGGGAGCAACAGCATCAAAACTGTCATCAGCATACTGGTGCAGGTCCTCGCCATCTGCCGTCTCAAAGCTGATATTAACCAGTCCCAGCTGCTGCGCCCTAGCCTGCCCAAGCTCCAGGTAGGGCGGCGCCACGTCTGTGGACACCACGTGAGCGTTTGGCAGCGCCGCAGCCAGCGTCGCTGCGGGCTCGCCACTGGCGCTGGCGACGTCGAGGATGTGGGCACCTGGTCTGCCCTCCAGGGCTGGGGCCAGCAGCTGGTGGAAGGCCTCGAACAGCCCTGACATGATGGAATGGCCAATGACCCTGCAGCAGTGTGTCGTGTCCTGCATAGCATCGTAACACTGTTGTGCATTCTAATGCATGCTGCTGCCTCTGGTGCGCTAGACGCCACCGCCTCACCAGTCTGCATACTGCGATGCGGCGGCGTTCCAAGTTGCTACCACCCTCTCCTTAGCTCCTCCTTTGTGTGGGTCTGCAAGGGAAGGGCAGCGGAGCGAATGGATTCAGGGCAACGGTGGGCGCCTCCAAACCGCCGCTCCGCAGCCGCCGAGAGGCAGGGAAAAGATTGGCGTCAAATCGGTGCAGCTGCAGCCAGTGTTTTAAATCACTCCTGCGGCATCTGAAGCGCTAGGGGAGCCAAACGCCCTCTCGCACCGCCGCCATGACGTGAATGTGTGGCCCACCCGTGAATGTGTGACGGAAAGTGAGCTGCAAACGGATGCCGACACTGGTCAAATGATAAGCAACCCCCTTGGGTTGATAATTCATGGGATTTTTGCCACGCTGGCACTTTGCCCACGGGTTCATCCCTACATCAGTACCTTTCCAATCAATTTGCATTTTGCAGATCAGCATAGCCTGCAGCTGCAGTGATTTAACTTTTGGTGGCGTGCACCCCGGCGGCTGCACCAGAAGGCAGCGCCTTTGTGACTCGGTTGTGGCTGTGATATGGCGTCTGCAGCGGCGCCTGAGCTGGCTGGCCGGCTGGGGGGCGGGCCTAGTTTGCCGACCGACAGGAGGGGATGGCTGCCCGTCAGCCACCACACCGCACAGAGGCAACGCCAGGGGCGGAGACGGCAAGCAGAGCAGCCCACGCAGTGTCGTGCGGGAGGTTCGTTTGCATGCATGGCGCCGCCACCGCCACTGCCCTCGACTGGGGCACCCTCGGCACCCTGGCGCCCAGCCATTCTCGCGGCCGCCCCCTGCAGGGCGCAACCGCAACCGCGTGCAGGTGCGCAGCGACGGCTACGAGCACCTGGGCAGCTCGCAGACCATGCGCAACAAGCGGCAGTTCCCGGGGCCGCCGCCGGGGCAGGGCCCTCCGCTGCGCGTGCTGCCCATCGGCGGGCTGGGCGAGATCGGCATGAACTGCATGCTGATCGGCGTGTACGACCGCTACATTCTGGTGGATGCAGGCCTCATGTTCCCAGAGTGAGCTGAGGGTGGGGTGGGCTGGGCTGGGCGTGAGCAGCTGGGAGTGGCGGCTTCTGAGCCAGGCTGTGCTGGGGCCTGTCGCCAACCCTCGCGTGGCTCTGCTTGGCTGCCTGCCTGCCTATCATTTCAAATTGCGATCCCGATGCTGCTGCACTGGTTGTATCCTAGTTGTGCCAGCTGCCCCTGCAAGCACGTCGCTCTCCCACCCTGCCGACCTGTCGCCTTCCAGCGGGCTCCCTGACTTGCCCCCGCCCCCGGCCCCCCCGCCCCTGCAGCTTCACCGACCTGGGCATGCAGAAGATCCTGCCGGACACCTCCTTCCTGGCTCAGTGGCGCGACAAGATCGAGGCGGTGGTGATCACACACGGCCACGAGGACCACATCGGCGCGCTGCCCTGGGTGTGGCCCGCCCTGGACCCCTCCACCCCCATCTACGCAGGCGCCTTCCCCATGCAGCTCATCAAGCGCCGCCTGCAGGTGGGTGGGTGGCCGCAGGCAGCACAGCTGGCTGGTTGCGGCACGGCTGCATGCCTGTGGGGCCGGCGGCGGCGCGGAAATGCTGGCCGCTGCCCGGGTCTGCCCCCGGCCTTGCTGGCGTCGCCACCGATGGTCACTCGTGGCGTGCATCACCGCTCCCCCACACCCGCCGTCCCCTGACTGGGCCACTCCCCTGGCCGCCCTGCTGTCGGTCACCCCTGCAGGAGTTCAACCTGTATGACGAGGGGCGGTGCCACGTGATCAGCATGCGCCAGAACTTCCAGCTGGGCCCCTTTGACTGCACCCCCATCCGCGTCACACACTCCATCCCCGACTGCTGCGGCCTGGTGCTGCGCTCCGACCACGGCACCATTGTGCACACCGGGGACTGGAAGATTGACGAGAACCCGGTGGATGGGGAGTCGTTTGACCGCCAGGTGTTTGACGAGATAGGTGCGGCGCCCAGCAGAATGGTTGCCGCTGCCGCTGCTTGTGGTGTGGTTTGTTCTGCTGGCCGGCGTGCAGCCGCGCGATCTGCGCGTGCCTGCTGCGCCGGCGGGTGCCTGGTGTGGGATGAGCGCGCGGGTTGAACATCAGCCTCACCCGCCCCCCGCGCCTGGCGTGGGTGCAGGGCGCGAGGGCGTGTCCCTCTTCATGTCCGACTCCACCAACGTGCTGTCTCCTGGGCGCACCACCAGCGAGGCCGTAGTGGAGACGGCGCTGATGAACCGCGTGATGGGGCACCAGGGCAAGGGCCGCGTCATCACCACCCAGTTTGCCTCCAACCTGCACCGCATGGCGGCGGTGAAGAAGGCGGCCGACGCCTCGGGGCGCAAGATCTGCTTCATCGGCATGAGCCTGGGCTTCTACCTGGAGGCGGCGGCGCGGGTGGGGCGTGCCCCCTTTGACCCCAAGGAGGTCATCCAGGCGGCAAACCTGGATCAGTACGACCCAAACGAGCTGCTCATCATCACCACGGGGTCCCAGGTGAATGGCTGCGGGGGGGGTTTGGGTGGGTGTGGCATGTTCTGGGGGCTTGCCAGGGGGGGCCCAATTGTGGTGGCGGGGTGGTGCGCAACTGGGTGGCCCGCTGCCGCCTTCCGCAAAACCTGCTTGCCCCGGCCTCTTTCCGTTACGTCAGGCGGGAGCCGCCCGCCGCGCTGTCGCTGCCCGCCCGCAACCCCAGCCACATGCTGAAGCTGCAGTCTTCCGACTTCTCCCTCTATTCGCCCAAGGTCATCCCAGGCAACGACACGCGCGTCATGCAGGTGAGGGCCGCCCTGCGTGACGGGGCGCGGCGGGGGGCGAGGGTCGCGAGGGGGCACCCCACCCAGGCTGGCACCCCCGCCTGCTGCCCGCCACCCTGCCACTGGTGCCCGTGCTTTCTCCCCGCAGATGATGAACCGCATCAGCGAGATGGGCCCCGAGATTGCCATGGGTCGCGACGAGAACCTGCACACCTCGGGCCACGCCTACAAGTGGGTGCAGGGAGCCGGCCAGAGCAGGGGGCAGCAGCCCAACACAGCCTTGCACAGCTGGCGCCCCGTCGGCCGGCCTCCTGGCACTCAGCCCCGGGCTGCTCGCCTGGCTCTCGCTGCCCTGCCTGCCTGCAGGGGGGAGCTGGAGGAGGTGCTGCGCTACGCCCGCCCCCAGCACTTCCTGCCCGTGCATGGGGAGTATGCCTTCCTGTGCGCGCACGCGCAGGTGCGGCGGCGGCTGTGGGGAGCCCGCATCGCTGCCCCCGCCCTGCTGCTGCCGGCGCCCATCCTGCCTCACCCGCCCTGCCCACCAAGCCCCTATCCGCTCCTGGCCCCCACCCCTGCTCCCACTGCGCCCCTGAGCCCTGCCCCCCCCCGTCACCCTTGCCCCCGGCTGCCCCCTCCTTTCCCCCACTGCAGCTGGCCCGCGAGAACAACATCAACTTTACCTCCGTCATCCGCAACGGCCAGATGCTGGGCGTGGCGGACCGGCGCAACCGCAACACGGTCAGCATGGGCAGCGCGGCGGGCATCCCGGGCGCCTCCATGGCGCTGCTGGGCGAGGCGCAGCTCACCAACTTCTACAACGACGGCAACAAGGGCACGGGCACGGCGTCGGAGATGGCGCTGGAGGAGCGCCAGCTGCTGGCGGTGGAGGGCATCGTCATCGCCGCGGTGGACGTGCTGCGCGACGCCGCCATGGTGCGCGCGGTGGCCGAGGCGGCGGCGCCGGGTGCGGGCCCCGCGGTGGCGGCGGCCGCCGCCAAGGCCGCCTCCGCGCGCCGCCTGCGTGCCAAGGTGCGCGTCACCACGCGCGCCATGTGGGTGGCGGGCGGCGGCCTGCTTGAGGAGCTGCACCGCGCCGCCAACGACGCCATTGAGCGGCTGCCGGGCGACGCGCACCTGGCGGCGGTGGAGCGGGTGGTGGCCGACGCGCTGCGCCGCACCTGCAAGGCCTTCAACCAGCGGCGGCCAGAGGTGGTGGTGATTGCGCACGAGGCGGACCCCCGCGCGGGGGCGGCGGCCATGGCGTCAGCCACCCGCCGCCAGGCAGACTCGCCGCAGGGCGACCGCGGCGGCGGCCAGCAGCGCGGCCAGCGCGGCCGCTGGGGGCAGCAGCAGCAGCAGCAGCAGGGCGGGCGGCGCATGAGCGACCGCGAGGCAGAGGAGGTGCTGGCTGAGCGCAAGAGGCGCAAGCAGGCGGAGCGCGAGCGGCAGCTGCTGGTGGCGCCCAAGGGCGGCGAGCTGGACGACATGGGCGCGCCCTCGGGTGCGTGGGTGCCTGCCGGGGGCTGCTCCGGGCCTGTGTGCCGCGCTGCCCTAGGCTGCTCTGGTCGCCGGTGGCCGCCTGCAGTAGCTGGCAGGCTGAGAGAGCCGGCCGCGGCTTCATGGGGTCTGCCTCGGCCCCGCCCGCCCATCATCCCCTCTGCCTCCCCATCCTGCCTGCCTCTGCCCTGCAGATGAGTCGTCAGAGGAGGAGGAGGGGGCGGAGCTGCCGCTGCCCGCGGCAGGCAGGCGCGGCGGCAGCGGCGGCGTGGCCGACAAGGTTGGCGGCAAGGCTGGCGGGCGGCTGCCGATGCGTGGCGGTGGCGCGGCGGCGGCGGCGGGCGCGGCCGCAGGCGCAGCACCCGCCAGGCGTGGGCGGCCGCCCAAGGCGGCACAGGCGCAGGGCACGCCGCCGCCGCTGCAGGAGCTCCCGGCAGACTTTATTGCTCGCCGCCAGGCGGCCAACCCGCGGGACAACCCAGAGGCTGGCGGCAACGTAGAATACCCCTGATGGCAGCTCCCTCTTTCTATAGCCTCTGCTACACATGATGATGCCTCATGAACAATCAGAACTTATCCTATGGAATGCTCATCATCCATTGTTTCCGCCCGCCACGATCGTTTCTTGCTCCCTTCCGGTCCTCAGCGTTCCTTCTGCTCCACTGGAGTTCATCCCACCCATCGTCAAGTGTGACGAGGCCTCCTGGACGTGTTACAGCAAAGGTGGAGCCCAGCTGACGGAAGGGGCAGAGCAGGCAGTCGGTCTGGCATGAGCCAGGCGGCACAGGCAGCGCTGTCACCGCCAGCTGTGTGCGCCGTCACCGCCAGCTGTGTGCGAGATGCCAGCCATCCTCCCAATCAGGCAACCGCATGTGCCTGCCTGTAGCTTCGCGTACCGGGAGTGAAGCGCGTCAATGCATGCCCTTCTCCCAGGCCGTCACTGTCTGTGAGCTGCAAGGTGGTGGCTCCGGCTCTATCGGTTTGCGAGGCGCACAGAAGATCAGCACTGATGTATCGTACTGGATGAACAGCCCGCCCTGCACCTGCGCCTGCCTCCGCCCGCAGCCGCCGCCGCTGCTCATCAGACACCCGCAGGGCCACCAGTTGTTGGGGCAAGTAACACCCGCCCCTGGACCCTGCGCCGCCCTCTAGACACCCGCCACCATGGCAGAGGTGCCCCGGGAGCAGCGCAAGATGAAGCGCTGGCGGCGGCGGGACCTGAATACCAACCTGCTCAAGGTGTGCTAGCTGTCGCCGGTGGGCCCTCCATTGTGCCGGCCTGCTGTGTCGCCAGCCTGTGCGAAGCCCGGAACCCCACCCCCTAAAGTGGCTGCCAGCCTCTGGCCGCCTGCAGGTGTATGGCGAGCTGAAGCCGCGCGGCCTGCAGGCGCTCATCCTGGACGCCGCCGTGTGGCTCTGCTGCGACGACGGCGTGGCGCACCAGCTGGACACGCTGTGCCTGGGCAACATGGACGGCGGCGCCGGCACCGCCGCCCACGTGCGGCGCCTGCTGGAGGAGGCGGGGCACGCGGTGGAGGGGGACAAGGCGGTGCGGCTGAGCCTGGATGAGGCGTTCTTCATGGCGTACGCGCTGGGCATACTGGCGGTGCATGATGTGGTGGAGGGGCATGCCGTGGCGCTGGACACCACGGTGCGTGGCAGGCTGCGAGGGTGGAGATGGGGTGGCGGGGTGGGGCGAGAGCACGTGCTGGGCAGATGGTGGGCGACCTGGACTGCTGGCCGTTGTCTTGGCCCTGCTGCTGCCAGCATGCGCGTCCCCGCCGCACACGGTTCAGCCCCGCCTGTCGTACTGATACGTGACAGGCTGGCTAAGAGGCTGCTGTGCCAGCGCTGGCGTGCAGGCGCTGTGGCAGCGGCTGCAGCAGCTCCGCCACGACTTCTTCCTCCTCTACCTCGCCCACCACCACTTCCGCAGCAAGGTGGGGCGCCGCCCTGTGCTGTGCTGCACCGCGCTGCGCATGCACCAAGGCAGGTAGCGGCTGGCTGCCTGCCTCTTCCCCTTGCCTGCCTGGCTCACCGGCATGGTGCTGGGTTGCAGGGCTGGATCCCGCGCACGGGCCTGCAGTACGGCGCCGACTTTGTGCTGTACCAGCGCCACCCCGCCCTGACGCACTCCGACTACACCGTGCTGATCGTGCCGCTGGCGCCAGGCCAGCGCCCAGACCTGGGCTGGCACGACGTGCAGGTCTCCAACCGCCTCTCCACGCAGGCAAGCGTGGTATCGCCTGTGCTGGAGGCTGTGGGGCGCGAACACGCCGTTCCACAGGCGGAGGGGTCGAGATCCTGCCCGCTCGCGCCCGTCACTTGCGCATGCGCCCGTTCCCTTGCGGGTGGCCTGCTTGCTGCAGGTCAGCAAGAAGCTGCTGCTGTTGTATGTCCAGGAGCAGGGCTCAGACCGCAGCAGCCCCAACTGCCTAGCAAAGGTGGCAGTGCATGAGCGGCTAGTGCGGCGCTGGGTGCCCGAATCGCACCGGCCGCCCCCTGGACGAGGCAGCGGAAGATGAGTGCACCGCGCTCCCTAGCGGCACATCCACACAGCCCCCTGCCTTCTGCATGATTTGTTTGCTTGCTCCTCTGATCGCTGCCTCCTCTGAATTCATTTGCACCCCATGGCATGTTGGGCGCTCATTTTGACATGGGCGGCGCGGTAGCACCGCCAGGCCTCTGCATCCATGCGCTGTGACAAGCTCGGAGCGAACATTCCTGGTGACAAACGGGAGCAGGTGGTGTTCTTGGGATGTGCAACCTGAGAGAGAGCACGGGGAGGGTGCAGGTGGCGCCGACAGAGATGGGAGGAAGAATGGGGCAAGCGGAAAGGGAGGAAAAGTTCATTTGCATGCGTAATCGTACAAGGAAAGCCCGGCCAAAGAAACACAAAGAGCCAGCCAGGCCTGGAGCACCGCAGCTCAAAAGACAGACAAATTGGTGAGCATCCAGCTTGATAACGCTGTTCTGGATGCATGGGTGGGTGGCGGCAGCTCGTGGCTATCCCCAGTCAGGCTGCCCACTGCCTACTAACAGCTGGCAGCCAGACATGCTGCCACCCTGCTGCGAGTGCTGCCCCACGAGCCTCGCTCGATCGCTGTCCACCCTTTACTCCTCCTTCCTGTCCGAGCTGCTCTCAGCAGGCTTGGCGGGGGTGTGGCGTGGGATCTTGGAGATGTACTGCGGGCACACAAAGGTGGGGGCACAGGGTAGCCCACTCGTTTGGAGGGTGGTCGGGCAGCGACAAACATCCTACATGACACACGCCTCGCGATGCCTAGCACCCAAGCCTTTCCCGTGGCTGCACGTGTGGGTCCTGTGGCTGCTGCAAGCCACAATGCAGGGCGCTGCATGCCTGTCCCCTGCCCCACCTTGTGCAGGTGCTTGTCGTAGACGGCGGTAAACTGAGTGCGGCACTTGTCGATGATGCCGTCAATCTCGTCCTTCTTCAGCTCATACACCTGCAGGGCCACGCTAGCAGCACGCGCATGTCGACGCCCGAGCAAGCAACAGCAGCCAAGTGAAGTGCAGGACGCCACAAAAGAGAGGGAGCATCAGAGGAGCCACGGCCCTTGCCACTGGTCCCAAGCCCACGTTACAGCCACACACCCGCCTCAACAACCCCCCAAATAGCGCTGCAAAGCTGCCCTTTCGCGGGATGCGCACCTTGGGGAGGGTGAAGGCGGCCAGCACGGCGGTGTAGGCCAGGCCCAGCAGTGAGAAGATGCCCGCCAGCTTGCCCACGAAATACAGCACGCCCACCACAGCGCCCGTCAGCGCCGCCTCCTTGCCGCTGGCCAGCCGGTTGGCAAATGCTGCGGTACGGAAGGCGGGTGGGCGCCGGCGTTCATCGAAAGCCACAAATGCACGCAGACATGCCCCACATTTCTGCAGACTTTGCACTAAACATCAGCAATTCTACGTGCGGCGGATAGTGATGGAGCAGCCATGCAAACTCTCTCACTCAGGTTGCAAAGGGGCCACACACTGGCAGCGGCAGCAAGCAAGCTGGCCCGCCCTGACCCCCACCCCCCACCCAAGCGCAGGCGGTCCCCTCACCCAGCCCCTTGTTGATGTACACGGTCGCCTTCTCCGCCACAGCCTTTGCCTGCCCCTCGGAGATGCCCTCCTTGAGCAGCCGCGGCACCGGCACGGGCGGCCTGCGAGCAGGCGGCCGCAACGACGCAGCAACGGTCGACGACCAAGCTGACCTGCATGTGGGCCTGCATTGCAGCTTCGTCCACACTGCCAGTTGCAGGCATGCGCCAAGGCCTCACTTGTGGGCAATCTTTGCCACGTTGTTCCACACAAAGCACCCCAGCACCGCCGCCGCCACCAGGTAGGCGGTGGTCTGAATGGCGTTGATTTTGGCGAACTGCAGGATGCCAAATGCCACCGTGATGGCGCCAAACACCAGCCCAGAGCGCTTGGGGTCCCTCCAGAGCAGCAGCTCTTCCTGCGGAGGCAAGGGGCAGCCAGCCCGCATGTCAGCACTACTTGCTTTGGCTCTCAGGCGGCCCCACCCGCCCCCCACGGTGCCCAGCACTGCACCCTGCAGCTGCAGGGCGCGATCTCAGGTGCCAAGCGCCTCCCAGGCAGCTGCATGTCCCACTCACCAATCGGGGGTCTTTCACAGGCAGCTTGATCCTGTTTGGTGTGGAGGTCGCCATGGCTGCAGTCGGGCAGGAGGGCAGGAAGTTCAACAGGGTTCGGGGAAGCCCTAGCGCGCCATTTCTATCCGAGGCCTTTCCAGCAACCGCCGCGCCCTCAAATGAGCAATTCTTCCCGCGAATTCAAGTCAGCAGTGTCCCCTGGCCACGCGAGGCGCCCGCACAGGCCTGCCGAGGGCCCCCATACACACTTGATCGGCACAATATACGTGCTTGCAAACCCTCCAGCCGCAGCTCAAGCTGTAGCTTGGTGGTAAATTGGATTGGACAGCAGCCCAGCGGCAGCGGGTAGGAGTAGCAAGACTTACCACAGGCGGCAGCAGGCGGCAGCAGGCGGTTCTGCGGCGGTGGCGGCAGGGAGGATTGACAGGCCCACGGCGCTGCAGCTCACGCCACCGGCATGGGCAGAGGCAGGGGGCGAAGAGGCGGAGGTGGCGGGCGGGGAGGCGGCGGGGGGGATGGTGGGGGGCACTTTGAGGATCAGTATGGAGAGGTAACGCTGCGGACACAGAGTGACTTCCATCACGTCAGCCTGAGGGCAGTCAGGGGGCCTCATCTCTGCATTCCCCTCTGTTGACTTGCTGCTTGCAGTCGATGGTCGGGCAGGATCGTGCAGAGCATTTTGGATTTGCCGGCCGCGGCGGCGGTGGCTCCAAAGGGGGTGACGCAGGCAAGCAGCGAAGCTGTTGAAGCTTGTGCTTCTTGGGCTTGGGGATCAGCTGCCAGGCTTGTGCTCAGCAAAATTTTGAAGGAGCAGTTGCAAGAGCTGGATACGCTAAGTTGCGACGGTTAGATGAAGCTCGAAGCACCTTACTGGGCTCCCGTGTGCCTCATGTGACCGCCTGTTGCCCCTGCTCACCCGCGCAGGCAGCCGTAGCAAGCCGGGGGAAGATCTAGCGTTCATCAGGCACGTACCCAAGTTCCTTCAAGCGCATGCCCACATGCTTGGCAAGCCGGTCGATGAGGAGCCGGAGGCGGCGGCGCTGAACCAAAAGTACGACGACGGGAAGCGGGAGGAGGAAGGGGAGGAGGAAGCCGACCAGGCAAGGCGGCCAGCAGCCTGGAGGAGGGGTGCATGCGCGCCTGCCTGCGCGGCCGCCATGCATTCGTGCAGTCTGGCACGGTGCAATACTGCAACCGCCAAGCATGGCATTCGTGCAGAATGCGCATCACCCTCTCCCTAACATCCGCTCTTCTGCTGGCTGCCTGCCTTCCTGCAGCAAGAGGCGCTGCGGCGGGCCATTGAGCAGGATCCCAGCCTGCTGCAGCAGCACCCAGAGCTGCAAGCGGTGGCTGATCAGGCCGAGGCGGAGAAGGTCAAGTCGCAGGGCAACGCCGCCTTTTCGGCGGGCAAGCTGGAGGAGGCGGTACGCCTCTTCACCCGCTGCATCGAGCTGGACGCCAGCAACCACATCTACTACAGCAACCGTGCAGCAGCTCAGACGGGGCTCAAGAACTATACGGCGGCCGCGCGAGACGCGCGGCAATGCACGGAGCTAAAGCCACGATGGGCCAAGGGGTGGAGTCGGCTTGGGGCTGCGTACTTCGGGCTCGAGGATTTTGCAGAGGTGCAGTTGGGCAGGAGATGTAGGGGGAATGAACAGGCGATGCAAGGCTTCATCAGCACCTGGCTCAGTTGGCTGCCCGCCGTGGCCCCTGCACCTGCAGGCTCGGGAGGCATATCAGGAAGCCTGCAAATTGGAGCCTAACGACGCCCAGCTGCAGGTTGGGATGCCCAGCCTGCTGCACGCCTCGGCGGCATGTTCAGCATGCATCGGGCCAGATCCAGCTGCCTTCCTGCCTTGATTCTCTGCTGTAGGTGTCGCTGCAAAAGGCGTCGGCACGCGAGGAGAAGCAGGCTGCGGAAGGCAAGCACAAATTCAAGCGCAAGCTGGACAACCGGCAGGAGCTGGCCAAGCGGCAGGTAACAACGGTGCGGCCGTCGGCGGCAAAGAAGGAGAAGACGCTGCTCAGCTTTGGAGATGATGAGCACGACGACGATGCATGACAGAAGGTCTGCTGAGGGGGCAGCGTGTTGGCCCATGTTGCTCGGTTGAGGGCAGACAGCGCCAATCCTTTCGCTAGCTGCCCTCCCCACTCCCAGCGCGTCTGCCGCCGCCCAGACCGAGTTGGGACTCTTTTAATCCTGGCTGCCTTGCATGTCCATGGCACACACCAGGGCTCGCGCAGCAAGCTGGGAAATC